TTATTACAAATCCGGTAAATAGTCTAATTCGGTAAGTCACATTCGTGAAAAGGGAAGGGTATTGTAGTTACGACATAAGGAACATATCCGATATCATCTGTGAAACGGTTATTCCATAACGGTCAACCAACTCGTGATGGCGTCCATAAAATTTACGAAGGGATGACTTCAACTTCACCATTTGGAACTCTTGGTTTAATAGCTTCCTTGTGAGCAGCAATCCTCTATCAAGGAAATCATGATAGGAAACACAAGCCCGGGAATATCGTATCAATTGGGAGATTGATTGCTAGTTATGAGAATAGCACTTTAAAAATTGCAATAGTCATTAGCGCTTCTCTTGATATACCTTCACCAGGATCGCTCATACATAAATACTCAAAAAGGACGCAAAAATACACGAAAACGTGAGAGCTGTATGTCCAAAAAGACAAAAAAAAGAATTGCCACTTTCACAAGGGATAAACTTTACCTGAGATAGGTTGAACCCTAGTGTCTACACGATTCCTGAATACTTTGAGTTCTTTTATTTAAAGTAAGGGCACATGTAAGTTTATTTTTAATTCTATTATATGTATTATGATGCTAAAAACGACAATTTAATCTAAATATCATCGATATGTGCATTTGAAACCAACTTGACTGACAGAAAAAATATTTATACGATACTATAGCATCTCATTATTTAATAATCTTTTATCAGTATCGTGCACAAAATTTATACTGGAAAGTAAAACGTGCAAATGACAGTGAAGGATATTTATGATTCGAGCAGATTGCAGAGTGCTACGACATCATAGGTTTTGTGATAAGGTTGCTGGTAATTAAAATAAAACGAGGACGTCATGTTTTCTTTTGTTATCAGAATTTCAGTTTGAATGAATTAATCAGTCATGGTTTGAACGACGATCATGTTATATCATGGAGGTACTGATACTCTATCCATTTAAAGAGATTTGGGGTATTTGTCAAGGAGGAAGCAACCCAACCATGATATAAACTATTTTCAACAACCTCTTTTCAGTAAAATATTCTTATAGTAGTGTAGATTCTATATTATAGATACAATGAATAAGCGTTGATTCTGGAAAAAGAAACCGTGAGCCCGGAGGGTGAATGGTTTGTTTTTCATGAATCAACGCTTATCATTGTATCTATAACTTAAACTATTGTGTTGATGTGTTTTCAAAATTAAAGCCTTTTCTAAATTAGAAGGTATTGTAAGTGAGTATAAATAACCCTGTTATCATGTTCAACGATGCATTAAAATCTCACAATTAATTGATTAGATGAAAACAAATATGACATAATACGTCTGTCTTTTAATTATTATGCATCTGAATATTATCCGTAATTTTCAAAATAAAGACATATTCGAACTTATTTTTAAGTTTATATAATAAGTATATTACAAATATTTCTAGCAAGAAACCTAATTCTAGGCACACCACAATTGAGTATTAGCGAATAAACATGTGTAAAGATATGTAATTTGAAGTCGAAGAGAATGATCAGACATAAGTTTACCGTCGGAGACTAACACCCACCAGCTGTGGTATCGACAAAGTGCTAGTTATGAGAATAGCACTTTAAAAATTGCAATAGCCATTAGCGTTTCTCTTGATATACCTTCACCAGGATCGCTCATACCTAAATACTCAAAAAGGACGTAAAAATACACGAAAACGTGAGAGCTGTATGTCCAAAAGAGACAAAAAAAAAGAATAGCCACTTTCACAAGGGATAAACTTTACCTGAGATAGTTTGAACCCTAGTTTCTACACGATTCTTGAATACTTTGAGTTCTTTTATTTAAAGTAAGGGCACATGTAAGTTTATTTTTAATTCTATTATATGTATTATAATGCTAAAAACGACAATTTAATCTAAATATCATCAATATGTGCATTTGAAATCAACTTGACTGACAGAAAAAATATTTATACGATACTATAGCATCTCATTATTTAATAATCTTTTATCAGTATCGTGCACAAAATTTATACTAGAAAGTAAAACGAGCAAATGACAGTGAAGGATATTTATGATTCGAGCAGATTGCAGAGTGCTACGACATCATAGGTTTTGTGATAAGGTTGCTGGTAATTAAAATGAAACGAGGACGTCATGTTTTCTTTTGTTATCAGAATTTCAGTTTGAATGAATTAATCAGTCATGGTTTGAACGACGATCATGTTATATCATGGAGATACTGATATTCTATCCATTTAAAGAGATTTGGGGTATTTGTCAAGGAGGAAGCAACCCAACCATGATATAAATTATTTTCAACAACCTCTTTTCAGTAAAATATTCTTATAGTAGTGTAGATTCTGTATTATAGATACAATGAATAAACGTTGATTCTGGAAAAAGAAACCATGAGCCCGGAGGTTGAATGGTTTGTTTTTCATGAATCAACGCTTATCATTGTATCTATAACTTAAACTATTGTGTTGATGTGTTTTCAAAATTAGAGCCTTTTCTAAATTAGAAGGTATTGTAAGTGAGTATAAATAACCCTGTTATCATGTTCAACGATGCATTAAAACTCACAATTAATTGATTAGAGAAAAACAAATATGACATAATACGTCTGTCTTTTAATTATTATGCATCTGAATATTATCCGTAATTTTCTAAATAAGACATATTCGAACTTACTTTTAAGTTTATATAATAAGTATATTACCAATATTTCTAGCAAGAAACCTAATTCTAGGCACACCACAATTGAGTATTAGCGAATAAACATGTGTAAAGATATGTAGTTAAACAAATGAAATCATACTATATATATATATATATATATAAAACAAAAATGCACAAATTGAATTTAATAGTTTTTTTCAAGAACATATATGGGCCAATGATAATCCAAAACTAAACGGGAAAAACCCGCTTCTATTACAAAAATATCCATAATAACATACAAAATAAATAAAACGGAAAAACTACAGAAAAGGGACAAGAAAGAGAAAATAGGGATTCGAACCTAACCGACAAGTCTTTACTTTTAACTTGACTCTATAACTCATGGATCTTAACCTCGCGGTTACCAACTTATACAATACGATTGTCTATTATGTATATATAAAGGTACAAACCCTGTCTTTCCGTTGTACCGATGTGTATCATGTGTTTTTATATATACATAAAATAGACATCTAGATTGCAACCCATTGGTAGCCCAGAGGTTTCATCGAGGTGTTGATGTCAGTTACACATAACAGATTTCAAGGAGAGTTTTTAAATTAATTTCATAAGAGAACAGAAATCAGTAAATTAGCTAATTCAAATTTAATGAAATAAGGCACACAAAAGAAACAATTGAATATGATTTGGTGAGTCCATTTCAGCGACAGATTTAGGAAGCGTTGATTCTAGAAAAAGAATCCACGGTAAATGAATAGGTTAACGTCACGGAAATGGTTTAAGTAACAGATATACTTGTAAAAAAATGTTTTGCCGTTTGAAAATTAGACTTTAAAAATCTGTTGAATCAAACATAAACTCAGTAAATAGAACATTCTGACAATTCAAACGCAGACATGGTTTTGTTGCAAAACCATTTCTCAAATTTCGAATTCGACCCCATATTCCAAGGAAAAATAAAAGTCTTTCAATTCTAACACATAATTTGTCAAATGTTATTGTCATCAAACCATTTCTTCGCGATCGAAATGCGATCCTTAATTTTAGCATCAGGAAACACTCGAACATAATTTTTTTTATCACTGTGGGAAGGTCTTTTTACAAAAAGGAGAACAGCATATGGAAAAAAATAATAAACAATCAACATTTGTGACAAAAAAAAAATCTTTCTAACAAAGGACACCATGCCCTGCTCTCACTATTTTATACGTTATTGTTTAGTGAAACGTGAAATCGGGGTCAAAATCAAAATTCGTAATATAATTGAAAAGTTTATCTCTTGATGATCATGGTTTCTAAGTTTTTAATTGATTTGATCAGACCTTCATGGTGAACTACCTAAACCAAAACATTATATCATTATATCTTTATGTTTAAATCCATCATTATTTCGTAAGTTTGAAATATATAACCATCCGTACCTGTAATTGAAAGATGTCTGGATTGTTAACTGTCATTAATGTGTAGCTACATGGATGGCAAATGGGTCTGGAAAAGTGCAATTTGCGCACTATACAATTTGACACACAATTAGATTGTCTTTGCATTTAAGTACCTTGAATGAATATTTCTGACTTAAAAAATCAAAACAATTCTAATCTAGGGAGAAAAAACACATCAGAAGTGGATACAAAATGGATTAACAAATTAAAACACGATGATTTTTTTTACCTTTAAGTGTATATATGCTTATGCGAGAACAATCTACACAAACATAACTCTTTCAGTTTGAGTCACAACTTACCTGAAAAATCTGTATATTCGTAATTTTTTATTACATATATATATACTATGCAAATAAAAATAGTATGTTATAAAATTTGTGCGTCCGATGCGCTTTTTGATTAATCTTCGCCAAGAACGCTCAAACCAAAATATTTGAAAGCTAGGGGTGTGTAAAAACGTAGAATCGTTATGAGCTTTATAAGTAAAAGGAACTGAAGAGAGAATAGCCAAGTTCACCTAAGGTGACTTTGGCCAGATTAAGTCGTAACCTTAGTTTCTTAAATAATTTCTTAACTTAGATTGCAAAGTGGAGAATTCAAATCGAAGAAAAACTGAAAAAGCCATTACAAAAAAACAAAAAAGAAATATACAAAACACTACATACAAAACTTCCTACGGTGGAACTCACCGACCACATGAAAACCAGCTATTCCAGAAGGGTGGGTAATTTCGCAAATATAAAAGAATCTAGGTTCATCACATTTTACTACGTTTTCTTTGGAAAAAAAGTATTCATACATCCATAAAGATCTGTCATAATTAATAAGAAATAGACTGTCAATGTTCTGCAAAACTTTAGTTTTTAAAGACAAATTGGTTAAATAAAATTTACAATAATATCAATCGTCTAATTCTGACATTATTTCAAATAATTTTAAGGCAATTGAACCAATTATACCAATTACCTCAATAACTTTGAGTAAAAACTCGTCACTGTTTTGAACAATGTTTCTGTCTTCATTTTCTTCCTTCATACTTGCTTGAAGCATCCGTTCAACATTCTTGTAATCAGAATTAGTGTAGCAGTTATTTCCATTTTGCTGCTGAACTGACGAAACTGTCTCTAGAAGCTTTTTTACTTGAATTTCGTTTTCGCTCCCTCTTCTTCTATTATTGAAAAACAAATACCGATTGCCGCACATCGTCAGGAATTTTTGAGCATATTTCGGAAGAGAGCTTATAAAATCTTCCTTTGTCTGATTTTCATTTTGTTGCATGTGGTCTTCTAAAAGTTGATCTACATGCGTGAATATTACAACTACATATTTAAGCATCTCTTTCCCGAAATATCTCACAAAGTGTTCAAGTGTGTTGATATCTTCTTTTGTAAATCGAGCAACTCGAATACAAAGTATAGTTGCATGAGGACCAGGCGAAGATAAAACAATGCTCCTTTTCACTTCTCGTTGAATGGTCTCATTATCTTGATCAGTATCAAAAAACCCAGGCGTATCAACCACGTCAATTTTTTCCCCAAATCTAACGGAAGACTCCTTTTGGCAAATTGAAGTTACAGAAGAACCATGGTCACCGTATACGAATGCATCCCTTCCAAGTATCGAATTTCCTGTCTTACTTTTCCCAGTGCCTGTTTTTCCTAAAAGTATGATACGGAGTTCATCTGGTTTGTCCATTATATATCTTTTCCTGAAATGAGCAAATAAGCTTAATCATTATTCATCATGCGCACACGTGAGTTTTAATATCTTTGCCATGTCCAGGAAATTGAAGCAAACGCGTTTTATAATACCAAAGGACAACTGATGATAAAAAACTAGTCGTAGGGGGGATAAAACAAATTATACATTTGATTTAAGAAGGTATATAATTTTTTTGTATACCAGTTACAAAAAAACGTCAAAATATACCTAAGGAACAATGCAAAATCATAAGCCTAAGAAAACCCCGAAAAAACACTCAAAAAATACCACACAGACAACTATATAAAGACTAAGCAAGATTCACCCCAGCAAAAACCAGAGATGATGTCAGGTATTCCGGTAGTTAACGCAAGTACAGCTCACTAGTAACATCCGTGATGTTTGCAACGGCAAGTGGAAATTCGGTAATAAGTCGCATTCGGTTATGACAAATTCGAAAAAAAACAAGATTGAAACATATCCGTGGTCATCTGTGACATAGATATTTCATAACGGTCAACCAAATCATAATGCCGTCTGTTAAACTTTTGAAATGATTAACTAGATCATAAGCAGGAACACTTGGTTCAATAGCTTTCTGGAAAGCAGCTATCCTTTATAAAGGGATTCGTGATATAAAACGAGAGTCTTGCAAAGTGTTTCAGCTGGGAGGTATATACTCAATATGCAGGCGATGCTGGTGTGTCGTTAGATAGAAAAGAAAAGTTCATGATTGGAACGTTCAAATCATCTATCTTGTATAGTTCTCAACTGAACCATCAACTGAGCCTTATTTTCAATTTCTAAGTAAAGCTATGAAGCAGATATAACAGCAAAAAAGCCTGGTTTGTTTTTTCCGGTTTTCAAAGAACGGACACATATATTTTATATTTGCCGACAATATGCAAATATATTTATAGGTATTTGTATAATATCCTCAAATTTGAAGATTTAACATTGTTGGGCTAAATTGTAGGCAAAGTATACATAAATTGTTGTGTGAACCCTGTATAATCGTAGGTTTTCCGATGGAAAGCATCAATCATAAATTCGACACATACCAGGTTTTTGGTGGTATATAATAAGTATCGGTATGGCTGCATGGTAAGTAAAAGCATCTTTTTATACAGAAAAAAAAAACCCCACCTCATCTTGAAGTAATACCATGTAATTGTTCTAGTGGTCAAGGGCGACGGGCACGTTTGCAGGTGGTGTTGCAGTGACGTCACAAAAGTGGGGGTTCAAATCCCGCCGAGGGAAAAGAAAAGGGTGCCACTGCAAAAGCTTAGGAACTTTACATTTATCATCTGATGTCATTAGTATCGGCAAAGATGGCCGACAACTTCAAGAAAAAGATAACTTGAGTTTAAAATACAACTTCCTGGCTTAGTAGTGTTACTAAATTTGATAGTACAATAATTTGAACAAAACACACTTGTAAACTTCATAATACACATTTTTATACCTGAATCACAGAATATTTGCAGGAAGGACAAAAATTGCCATCCCGCATTTGACGATATGAATTCATGGGGAGAAAGAAGTGGGGTTTGGGTGGGGGTTATGATTGTATATACAGACGGGTAACTTTCGTTATGTCAAATATATAAATTGGGTGCTATTCTACCAAGGTAATATAAAAATGGGGTGCTAATGCACCAAGGTAATATATAAATGGGTCATAAATGTTCAACTTCCGATGAGATGTCTTTAACATACCCTATTGATTCGATCCACAAAAGCGCATTTTTATACAGGTATAAACGATGATTAACATATTTTTTTAACCTATTACATAAAATCAAACAGACCTAGAAAATCCAATTGCACGCGTTCACTATCTATTTTTGTATAATTACGTTTATATCTGCTTAAATGACCGTCGACAGTCTTCGGAGGTCACCTCGATGGTTAATTAGATGGTGTCTGGACTAAATACACACGAAATGCTGATACATATTACCAAGTACATGTATCGTAAATTGTTTATTTTAGACTTTTTACAATTTGGATATACGTTTAAGTATGATATAAATCAAATATGAGAGTTTGATTTAAATCGGTGAACATGGATTTGACAGCTAATGCCCCTTTAATTCGATACAGTCGCCATGTTGGAACACTGTATAAAAACGGATACAGGAATAGTCCTAATATGATAATGTTTTTCCTGATTCTTCTTAACGTGCCCGTAATCGTCACGAACATTTTCTAATTGTCAATTTTATTTGGAAAAAGCAAGATTATTTATAAAGCAAAGAGACTACAGTTTTGTGAATAACTTGAATAGAAGGATATCTTGATCAGATTAGTAAAGCTGCTGGTTTAAAGGTAAGTAGTAATGCATTTCGAAAGATGTGATATATAATTTCACAGTAAGCATAATTTAAGGGCACGGTAGGCAATTAGTGTTGCTAGCTGGCGAACTCACGACAAATTAACAATGGACACATATCTACATTGAAAAAAAGATTAAGCGTACTTCTTTTTTCGAAGCGGTAGATAGGTAAAAGGAGGGCGGGGCATCAAATATTTGTTCTATTTACACATTCTTTCTATATTTGGTTATGAAAGAGGGTATGGCGTTTAATATAAAATCCGTGTTTGGTTTTTTTCCCACTAAAACGTGTCCAAAAATATAAAATTGTTGCGAATCCTTAGTAATTACCTTTCAAAGGAAAAAAACATTGGAAAAATAAAGACACCAAGATCTAGCGAACAACACAAAATAAAATGACGTTGAAAAGCAAACGCACGACATCACATAAACTGACCGTAGAACTTCGTTAGCGATGACCATGATAAATTGATGACCCAATAAAAGGAAGTAACTGTTAAGCACCATCAAGGAAATGAAAATGTACGATTAGAAGAGAAAAGACTCCATTATGTCTAACATTACCATAAAGTTTTCAAATACAATGTGCTTAAAGGACAGCTATTACTTTGAAAGTTCGATTTTGTGATAAAAGTATCTTTAGTAAAATAAATTTCAATTATGTATTTACAAACATCTCGTTAGCTTATAAAGAATATTTTGTCTATTTATCTGCAGGTAATGTTAAAAAAATATCTAAATCAATAAGAATAAGAAGATTTTTATTAGTGTCAAGTCCAAGCAATATTACCGTAATCAAATAACAGAAATGTACTATATCTGTTATAAAATCCTCTGAAGCAAGAAGGGTACATTGTGTGCAATACTTTTATTGATAATGCTGACAATTTTTTCATCATTTTTTGTCTTCCGGTTACTGTCTCATTGACGTATGCCCCGTATCCCCTTTTTGCTCATATATACCATCCTAATTTAAACCTTAACGTAAAACTAACTTAGACGAAATAATAATACTTACGTTAAGTTATAAACTTACCAATCGAAAGTCGTTGCACACTGGAGTAGTTTCAGTGTCTTCTCCAAACACCATTCAAATCTAGAAAATACGCAGAAATGACGTTTAAACAATCGATTTCGCGCTGGTGCGACTAAAAATGTTCGCGTGAAGATTCAACCGATGTATTTTACTTTGCGTTTAGCGCATTATAAAGATCCTCTTGCACAAGTCATCCAGGGGTATCACACGGTTGATTACCAACATTAGGGTCAATAAATACTCGAAAAATCCTTGTATATTTTTTTTCGTGTGTTAAAGTCAATTTTTAATAAAAAAATCGTGATACGTATATTTATATAAATAACACTCAATAAAATTTAACAAAAGAGATACAAACGCACTTGAATTTAAAATCTGTACTTGGATTGGAATCTACAATTAAAGATCCACCCGAAATGCACTAAAACTCTTTTTAAACCCCCCTCCCTTTCTGAATAAGATGACACTTCAAAAAAGTATATCCTCATCAAACAACACAATCAACTCTATATCTGTTTGAAAGTCCGATAAAGGAGCAGAAATACAACCTACTTTAAGAAACAGTAAGTGGATAAAAAGTTTGCTAACTGGAACTTAAATTAAATATTTATATTAATAGTTGCAATAACAATTTAGATCTCTTGTGTACTCTATTAAAAAATTTAATTTGATTCTGTGGTCCATATAATTGTGTTGTATCCGGTTTTTGAAAGGCTTTGACAATTGGATTGATTGGTTGATATATTTAACTACACTGGAATACTTTTGACTATGTCATGGCGACCAGTTTTTAATTGCGGAGAACTATCGACCTTCGGCAAGAAAGCTGTCAATCTAAGTCAAATGAAATTGAAGTCGAAAGCACCTTGGCTCGAGCGAGTTCGAACTCATAACCTCACAAAAGATGCACTATTTAGACCACTTGGACCCCTAGTACCCTTATACACTGGAAGCTGTTATAATCGATCAAAATCTATCATAGTAATACTTCTGAATAGCGCTCATATTTATAATATTTTAAAAGCTGTTAGGACACTGAATAATTGTTCGAATGGGTTAGTCGTTCTGGCTGAAAACAAACTATTGAATTTATATTACTACAAGGGGACCCACTCTTTATTAAAAATACATTTATTCCACATGTGCATGTGTATAATTTGGCATTTTGATTTGAGTTTTTTTAAGTAACACTTTGGATGAAGAGACTCGTAGGTATACATAATTATGTGCAAAGTACCACTTGTCTCATTAAAATACCATCATTTATATATATATTCCAAAAATTCGCGTTTCCCCATCAAATATTTCAACCGGTCATGAACTGATTTTCATATATTTCAACTATATATAGACGAGATATTGAATAAGAATATAAAAAGTTATTTATTTACATTTGACTTACAAGTTGCAACATAATGGTTTTAATTGCCTGTTAATTTGATGTTGTAGAAATCGCGCGCGTGTACAAAATCTTTGAAAGGATTATGCATTGATTTAATTGGTAATGGATGGCCTCCGATGATTTTTTTCTTTTAGAAAAATGCAAGATTATCAATTTTGTAACAAAATTAACTTACGCAGTAATGTATACCTCTGAATAACATTAGCATACATTTATATATGTT